TATAAAAGGCTGTGTTTTTGTCTCCAAGGGTGTGCCACCCAGACTTTTGCTTGGCCAAATAAAACGCTGTTTAGAAAAGTCCCTGCTTGAAATCTTTTGTTTTGTGCTGTTGATTGATTTCAAGTTTTCTGGGTAGCTGTGAACCTTATAAACATGTCAGCAACTTGTTTCTGTCATACCTGGTGCCATCCAACATTGAATATTCACGGCTAAGTTTTCTTCTTTTCCTTTCCCTATTTCACAACGCTGTTTGAATTTTTTGGGGAAAAAAAACCTTCTTAAAAATAAGGACGAGAGGATTATTAACTTGAAAATCAGACCTTTGGGAGCCTTTCTAGTTGAAAAGCAGAGCATAATTCTTTAAATAAAGTATTTCTTCCTCCACCACTTTTATCCCCAGAACCATTCTGTGAGATAAATTGCAGGTCTTATTAAACAGATTGGTTTTATTTGTGATACTGCTGCTTTATTTTGGCTACCTACATTTTTATATTGAGATACTGTTTCACATTTTATAGTATATTTTATTGTTATTCTCCTTGAGCAAAATTTGGTGGAAAGCAGAACAAATGTTAACGTTGGATAGAAATTAATTTTAGATAGATGGCCGAGTTCCCTCTGGACTACTTTAGGATTGGTGGAGGGGCTACCACCCTAACCAGAAGCATTCAACCTCCCTCGTCCTTTCCTGGAGCGCTCGGCCTTTCTGACATGCACTGCCTTCACAAATAATCTCACACACGTATGCAGACACCTGAAAATGTGTGCCTCTTACAATCAGAGCAAAGCCTAAAGGATAGTTTTTATCCAGAAATTTGTAAACCAAGAAAAGTCAGAAGCCTAGATCTCCTATTCTTAACCTGATGGTTTGGCAGACACAACAAAACTAAGCTACAGGGTAGGAACCTGATTCCAAAGGCGTTGCACCCGACTCTTCCCCTAACTCAATGCTCTCCAGGTTCATGGCCCGGCTGTCCCAAGGGGATGGAGGCTGTGGTTCCTCACCCCTGGGATGCTACAGGTCCTGCACACCCCAGTGACACCAATTTGTTGGCACAGGAGCCACCCTCACAGTCCCACAAGGCAGGACTGGGGCTCTAGAAGAGGCGTTCTCCCCTTCTCAATTTTACAGGGATTGGCAGTATTTATTTTTGGGTTGCAAAAATCCGGACGGCCACGAGGTGGAAGCAAAAATATGCAAAAAAATTCTGCCACTCCTTGCTGCTATCTAAGGGTCGTCCGGATTTTTACAGCCCAGATCAGGAAGCCCTAATGTTTCATGCCCCCTATGTTCTCCACCATAGTTGCCTGAGGGAAGATGATCATGATATTGAAATAGGACATGATTTCAAGCGGAAAAGAATATAGATTCATTTTTTAAAAAAATACATGGACGGGGACTGTACAAATGTAAGAAGTAACGGTAAAAATAATATAGTGTTGGAAACGCGTTTCTAGTCGGCAGTTTTCCGCCGAGGACACTTCCGGTAAGGGCAAGGGCAAAAGAACCGGCTGGCAAGGGATTTTCATCCTCATCGCCGGGCGAAGTCGGATTGGCCAGGGGCGCTTGTCACGTGGGCGAGGCGGCTTGGACTGGGCAGTGTTTGCCCCGCCTCCCGGTTGTGATAGTCCCGATGTGGTGCATGTGTGGATGTTTTCCCCCCTCCTTCCCCTCCATATCCGGGGTACAGGTTGGGAGCTCTTCCTGTCGGCTGAAACTGCGGGAGGCTCCGCGCGGAGACCGGGAAGGGAGCAGAGGAAAGGCTGCGCTAGGATGGGAGTGGGGGCGCGGAGGAAGGAGCTCTCTCCCCTACTCAACTAGCGCCTCTTTTAAGAAGAGTGGCCCGTTAACCCAACTGCACAGGCTGCCTTTCCATCTCTGCCTCTTCCTCATCCTCTTCCACACGCTGCGATCGGATGCCTCGCTCTGGGTCCAAAACGTGGGTATTAATTAAGCCTCTCTGCCCCCCCCGCTGTCCTTTGCACTTAAGGGCTTTCCATCCACCCCAAATTCCTCCCCGCCCTAGGAGCCCCACCTTCCTCCTGATTTGGTGATGGGGGAATGTTAATCCACCGAGTAGTCATGGCTTCTTGTGGTTCTCTTAAGAAAGGGGAAGCTGGTGTCCTTTCCTCACCCCGTTTTTCTTGAGAATAGGAAGTGTCATGACCTGCTTCGTGTTACCTAGCTGAATTGTTCTAATACACTATTTGCTCCCCAGTAATCCTGGACTGGGATTCTTACCCTGCCCAGTTGCCTCTGCCCCTGCCATGTTAGTGAGCGCGAAACTCCGAAATACCCACTTTGGGTTTCTGGGCTTAAATATTCTAGTCATGCAGGTTGCTGTGGTTTGTTCCTGAGAGACAGAATAGAAAAGTCTCCAGATTTTTCTAAGGTCCTTAGGCTCCTTCTTGTTACCTTACTGATTTAATCTCTTTACCCATGTATACCTGACTCCTTCCTACGTGTTGAAAAAGCTGCAATTGTGACATCCCAGAATCATGCTTCAGTGTCTCCTTGGATTGTGACATCTCTCCACTCTTACCCCAACTTTTCTGCCCTGGGGCTTTAAGTCATAGTTTGATCCTTTCCTAAACCTTTGCCATATCTTTAAGCAAGCCTGCCCCTTCTTTAATGATCATTTATGTTATTTTAAATAAGCTTCCCTTGTGAAAATTAGGAATGATTGATGTTTGCTTTGTTTTGTTTTCTTCCCCCATCCAGTAAGAATTTGGATCTTGCTATGATGACCTCTGCCAGATGGTTAACTCTCAGCTAGTACTGCAATCTTGAGAGTTGTAGCTACCTGTGGAGGCTACCGAAAAGTTGAAACTGCATCTGGCCGTTGGGTTAGGATTGGCATTGGCTTGCCTGGAAGGATAATTGTGCTGGATTTGGAGGAGCTATGGAATTTGCTGAGCTTATCAAGACACCACGGGCTGACAATGTAGTCCTTCACCGCCCATTCTATCCAGCAGTGGAGGGGACCCTGTGCTTAACAGGACACCACCTCATCTTCTCCTCACGACGGCAAGACAATGTTGAGGAGCTTTGGCTTTTGCATTCCAACATTGATTCCATTGAAAAACGGTGAGGATATTTTAGTTCGTGAATTGGTTGGGCGGGGGGGGAGGAATGGATGGATGAAGGGAGGAGCAATGAGCTAGATATAGCCCAAGAAACATAATTCTCCTCCATGGTAAAAATTTTGCAGGTGCTGGATGCAGGAATGGCCTGGATTAAGGATAGTAAACAGAATTGAATCCTGGCTAGATAGGGGCGCTATCATCATCACATTATTAAAATGAAGTATTTATACTGTATTTTACTGTTTTTAGCTGATTTGCGCAGCTGTTCCACAGATAAGAGCTTAGTTATAGCTATATGCTAATTGTGGAGCTCCCTTTGACAAAAACTCAGAAGCTTCACTGATATTATATCCACTTTATATTCAGTGGATATAATTCTGAATACTATAATTACAACAGCACACTGGTTATTAAGCAGCCTGTAAAATTCCCTTA